TCTTTAGGACTTTCTTAGTGTGCAGATTTTTGCATCTAGGACCTTCTGTATCATTGACTCTGCTTCCTAACCTTGCTTCCTAACCTTGTGCTTGATGCAAGATAAACGGCAGAGCCCTCAACCATTTTTTATCTATTCATTCCACCTCCTCATCCGCTGTTCATTCGCTCAACAGCAAGTCAGCAACCGGCGCGGCGTCAGCGCGCCTACCAGTATATATCTCTTATTATCAAACCGGGAGACTTTGGTCGCCAACCAGGGTGGCCACGTCGCCCAAAATTCCCCTGGCCGTCCGATCCTGCGGTCGACAGTACAGATTGGCTCCGCAAATTGCTATAGTACCTCACCCCCGCTGCGAAATCCTCACCGTCTCTCCCCGACCCCGACGCCCTCCTCCTCTCCGCAAGCTCTCTCTCTCTCTCCCTCCCTCTCTCGATCCATGCCACCATGGCGACCGTGCACGGAGCGCACCGGCGGGGCGCCGTAGTTGCGGCCGCCCTCCTCCTCCCCCTCCCCCCCCACCCCCGGCGCCTCCCCCCCCTCTCTCCTCTCCACTCGCTACCTCTCTCTCCCGATGCGGCCGGGGAGCAGCAGGCAGGCTGCTGTGCAGCGGGGCGGCAGGGTCAGAACCACCGCCCAAGACTTCAGCGGGAAGTGTGCCACCGCCCTTCATCTTGCTGGCGGCTGCCTTGTGAGTTGGGGTTCGCTCTCTCCCTTCCTCCCCCTCCCCTTCCCATGCCGGCGCCGGGGACGGACGTCGATGTAGCCTTGTTGGCTCGGTCTTCCTTGCTGGCGGAGGCCAAAACCGCCGGATCTAGCGGATCCGGTGCCTCCATGGCCGGGTCCGTCTGTCCTCCCGTCCGATCTATGCAGGCAACAACCTTCCGGAGGCCATGGCCGTTGGTGCCATGGTGGACGACCGTGGGCCAACGACGCCGCTGACCACTGCCTCCGCGGCGGCGGCGCACATCCTCCTCCTCCTCCTCCTCTGCCCTCTCTCCCCTTACTCTCCCTCTCTCCCCTTCCCTCCCGAGGCGGTGGTGGGCGCGAGGCGATTGCTTTCTACACTTCGACTGCAGTTGTCGTGAGCTCAGGGTGGCACAGTCCCACCCGCCAAGCAGGCTGCAAGCCTCCTAAGAGCACACATGGTCTTAAACATTTGATTTGATACATTCATGTCTTAATTCGATGAAACTCAAATTTGATTTGATACTCAGCATTTATCTAGATGTTTGAGTTGCTTTATAGAATAGCTTTCTCATTGATATACTCGGACTATATGCTGGATTCTGAAACCAATTCACTGCTTCAAATTGAGCTCAACACTATTTCATCATCCTTTCCTGGCCTTGGCTCCCTTGTCAGTGAACTTCACATGTCAATTTACTATCCATTCTTCCTATCTCAGGGCAGAATTATCCTGTTTTGTTTTCTTCTGTGAGTTTTTACTTCCTGGCAACCTCTTTTGACCATAACAGGTCTACTCACTATGATGATTGTTGACATATTTTAAAGATACAATTGTAGACTTTTTCAATAGTGGTACAGTAGTAGATGGAAAACTTGCTGACCATTTCAGTTCTCCCTTGAGCTTATAAGAAAATCCGAGATGAATGCCTTTTACTTAGTCAGCCAAAGTGGTTAAAAGATCTGTTGTGTCTACATAAACGTTACCTACATTTAAATTCCAGACTATGGGTTATTGGAAGCTTCAGCTTATCACTACAACCATGAACCATGATTTTTTCATATTAGTTTTGAAGTCTCTAACTGTAACCTGTAACGGTGTGCCACTTCAAAAATAGTTAGTATCTGTTGCAATGCTGCTTAGTTTCGTTTGCCTTGATGAAGCAGTGAGCTTCTTTTGTGCATGGATTCCAATCTCTATTGGAAACCTATTCTTACCCAAATGGTTTTATTGCTTGGTTGAGGATGTATAATAATTTGTTTTGTTATGATAATACACCACTTTTCCACCTTCACATAATACTGTCATATTCCAGGAATGGAGAGCGAGGTTTCTGATGGAACAATCATCTGCAGTAAAGTGCCCTTCGATATCCTACCATTTAGTAGGAACAAAAAAGATCCAGCAAGAACTAGCAAAACCTAATGTTCTTGAAAGGTGCTTTGAGTTTTCTCAGTACTAATGGGTGATTGGCTGGTTGATATTCCGCTGTTTCACAGTTGCACTAGGTTTTCAACAAAACAGATTACAACATCATTGATCAACTGCCATTTTACCTTATAGTGTTGTAGCCTATACTTCAAATGTGTTGACCAACTCTAGGAACGGTCCCAGGGGTCTGCTTCACGCTCCATTCTCGCTGCTCCCAGCGCGTTTTCCGGCGTCGTTCTGGAAGCAAGCGTGCAAGCTGGCTCCTATCTTCAATGAGCTCGTGGATCGTGTCAGCTTGGATGGGGAGTTCTTGCAGGCTGCTTTGTCTAGGCAAGTTTTGAATTCTATATACGGAATTTTTTTTACCAATGTGGTGTACATATCTACATTAAACTTCTAATATTATTTTCATGCAAATAATAAACATATTTTTTACCTGTGTCTTAACCAAATGATTTGTCGGGGCGCACGAGGGCGCGCGTAATGGACTAGTATACATGGTGGCTCAAGCCAACAAGTTGTTTTGTTGGCCTACATTGTTGTATCCTTGATTGATGAAGACACCGCTCCTAGTTGCAATTATACATTTTCCACAAAACCATGATCGTCGTAAGATCCTCAAGCCCAAATCGTCTCGATTTAATATCCTCTCAAAAGCAAAAGAAAAGAAAATTATATACTGTAGTATGTAGATCATTTTTCTCCCTCTAGACCCTGCAAGTACAAGCACCCTAGCAGCCACACTCACCAGACGTTGCAGCCAACGCGTAAAATAGGGGAAATTTACATTTTTATCATTATATCGATCGTCACTCATTCGATTCTCATCTTTAGGGCCTGTTTGGAACAGAGGAATGTAAAACGTAGGAATCGGAGAAAACATAGGAATAGAAAAAGAATAGAGGTGTAAAACAGATGATTGAAAAATACAGGATTTTTATAGAAATTGGTGTTTGAAACACAGGAATACTAATAACATAGGAATCTATTGGTTTGTAGTAAGCATAGTTGTTTAGAGTAAATAAGAGCTAACTACTTATTAGCAGGTGTAGTATCCTAAAAAGTGTGCTACATGGACGTATGATGCAACCACTTACTTTTGTCTAATCAATACATGTAAATAATAAAAAAATAGAGATGCATGCATCTTCACAGCGAGCTTGTCTAATCAATGGCTATTGTAAACTGTAGCACCCGTCATCATGAGCTTGATTAGCCCGTGAGCCGCACGTAAGCGCCGCAGGAAAAATTCCATCAGCTCAGCATGGATGTTTTTTTTTCCTCCAGAAAGAAAGCAGAGGATTGCTCGTCGTGTAACATCCCGGTCTAGGGCTTAACAGGATTAATATGATACTCATACCAATAAGTTGTAACTTCTTTTCCGGAAGTCCATCTGCAAATAACTCCGAGGTTAAGCGTGCTTGGCCTGGAGCGATGGGTGACCGACCGGGAAGTTCTTCCCGGGTGCGCACGAGTGAGGACAAAGTGCGCAGAAAAGACCTGTATTGGTCTGTGAGGGCAATTTATATCCTAGAGAAGCTGCCAGATGTAAGCGGGCCCGACCTCAGAGAGGCGGGACGTTACAGCCGTTCCAAAGGAAACGTAACCGTTCGTTCCTTTGTTCCAAACGCATCTACAATGAAAAAACCATAGGAACTTGATTCCTTTATTTTTTCTATGTTTTTCCCGTGAACCAAACAAGCCCTTAGAATGAAAATTACATATTTACCAGAGGAGAGAGGAGATGAAGCTGACGAGTGGGGCCCACATGGCGGTAAGAGGAGCTGGAGGGCCCAACTGTCAGGGAGGGAGAGGGAGAAGCAGGGTAGGGGCAGCTTCGTCTTTTCTTATTGCGCCGCCACACTGGCAGCTTGACCTGGCACGCCACGTACACAAAAACGCTTGTTTTTAGCAAACCTGTAATATTTCGTATCTCTACTTTGATAAATATGTAATTTTCATTCTAAAAATGAGAATCGAATAAGTGGCGATTATTATAATAATAAAAATGTAAATTTCCCGTGAAACGGTGACTAGAATGGCCACGCCGGGCCAAGGCCACAACACACAATGATAGCAGATGCCTGTGATGGGGACGGATACCGGGCCGGGGCTGTCGATGAATGTGAAACTGGATCATTACACGGAATCGTCTCCACAAAAATGATGTCGTTTATGACCGGAATTTCTAATTTGTTTCTAACACCGTTTTAACATCATCGCTGAGTTATTAAATTGAAAGCACTTAAGCTTCCGATCTACCGAGGATAGTTGAAAATCTAAACCATACCGCGTTTTCATCCCATCATCAGGTCAGGTGCTCCAGCAGAGCAACTCCCTCTGCCATGGACACGCTCGGAGGTCCAAGCAGGCAAGCCGCCGGGGGCGGTGGAGCGCCTGCCTGTCGTGCCAAACCTAGGCAGCTCCTATCAGACACGGACACGTCACGTCCAAAGATCAGATCTTCCTCAAAGTGATAAATTGCTCCTGACGCCTTGACCAGAAATAAACGACAAGTCCACATCGCTGTTCGTTTACCAAGTACCCGAACTGACGCTGATGGATCTATTTTAGTTCATTGGAGAGTCAGACAAAAATCCAGCAACTCGATGTATAGTGTATGAGATTAATAACACATAGCAGTATACAAAGCCTTTATTGTTTGAATCTCAAAAGGACGACAAAAAAAAAAGAACCAAGAAGAAGAAGAAACAACATCCACGTTACAGTTACACAGCGCTGACAAAAAAAGGGTAAGCCTGAAACTTGCTGCCCATGGATCATGGACGAGTGTGTGTTCTCTCCTGTCTGTAAATCCAAAGCTCTATCCTATCATGCCCCCAGGTTCAACCGGAGCTCTTTCAACCTCTCAGTCGGGACTTCAGAAGGAAACCTTGATGCCAAGCAACGCCATGAGCTGGGACACGAACTCCGGGTGCCCGGGCCAGGCTGCGCCGGTCACGAGGTTGCCGTCGGTGAAGCAGCGGTGGATCGGGTCAGGCTCCAGCCAGGTTCCACCCCCAAGTACAACGTTGAGCTTCACGGCTGGGTATGCAGTGCATTTCTTCCCCTGCATATCAACCAACCAACAAAGGAAGCATCAGTGCACACGTCAGTCAATCCAAGTTGTCAAATGCTCCGAGAAAACCAGACACATTTAGATATTATAACCTAAGGACTAAGGAGAATCCGTGGTCGACAAAAGGAGCTATCATTAATCTGCGTTGACTACCATCCTTTCTGGACCCATCAAACTAGCAAGATTTGTTATGTTCAGAGCAAAATTTGCTAGGCCACACAGCACAAACACATGAGGGTGGAGCTATCATTAATCTGCGTTGACTACCATCCTTTCTGGAGGAAAGAAAACTAGTACGATTTGTTATGTTCAGAGCAAAATTTGCTAGGCCACACAGTAAGAACACATGAACCAAAAGAAACACTAAACGATACAGATTATAGGGCATATCAAATTATCAACGGAAACAAGATTCTGCACAGCAATGATAGAGATGTACCTTAAGGACTCCAGCAGCTGACAATATCTGTTGGCCATGGCAGATCGATGCGATTGGCTTTCCATTATCCGCGAAGGCCTTCACCAAGCTGATGACTTTATCATTCAGAGCCAGATACTCCGGAGCCCGCCCACCAGGAATCACAAGCGCATCATAGCTTGAAGCATCCACACTTTCAAATGATGCTGTTAAAGTAAAATCATGGCCAGGCTTCTCACTGTAAGTCTGATCACCTTCGAAATCATGAATGGCTGTCGGGCACTTCTCTCCACCTCCCTTGTCAGGGCAAACAGCATCGACATGGCAGCCAAGAGCTTGAAGAGACTGGAATGGGACCATAACCTCATAATCCTCCATGTAGTCCTATTAATCATGCAATTAAGAAAAAGATTTCAGCAGAGTAGTAACTAATTGTGACACTGACACATATAAGATATATAAAGACCAATAATATGAATTAGATTGTTTGAGCAAGCCTGTTGGACTTCATCCCAATCGTGCAGTGTGTGAAATATAAAAATAAAGTTTAAAAGGTGCATACGAATGTGGAAATACTTAAGAACATGTATTTTTCTCAATACATACCCCACAGAGGAACAGTATTTTCTTGTCTGAGCCTGCCACAGAACCTCCAAGTGCTTTGACAAATAGGCTGATAAATTCAGGATGAGAATCATAAGTTGCTGCAGTGATGAGATTGCCATCAACAGTGCATTTTGCCATTGTGTCAGGTTCTTCCCACTTAGCACCAGCAGCAACCAAAACTGGTTTAACAGCTGGATACGCTGTGCAGGTACGGTTCTCAACTACTCTTGCTGCCGCTAAAATCAACTGCCCATGACAAACTGATGCAATAGGCTTCTTAGCATCAGAGAAATTTCTGACTAGGTTAAGCACCTTTCTATCCATTGCAAGATATTCTGGTGCACGTCCTCCAGGAATTACCAACCCATCATATTCACTAGCAGTAATCTCATCAAATGAAGCATTTAGTGTGAAATTATGACCTTTTGTCTCGGAGTATGTCTGCATGAAATATGCAAATGAGAGAATGAGTGTCGGCTTGTCAGAGCAACAATAAAGAGTAAGGTAACATGAAACAAACAAAAAGAGTAACGCTACTGTTTATTCTTGCAGCTGTTAATCTAAGCCATATCAGTGTAGATACCACAGGAAGTAAGCAAGAGAAGCGACAGAGCAGTGTTATTGATTTAGTATGATACTAGTACTACCAGGGCCTCAAGGAAAATTATACTATACAAAGCAACACCTTTTGGGAACAGATTCTGCAGACAGGGATATAAGCCAGATAACTATCTCCTAGACAAGTATCCCAAATATGTGATCATACATGAACTCCAACAACTACAATTCAAATACATGGATAAATCTTCGTTATGGTCGCTAAGTACGTGGAATCTTACATGACAATGGTATATGGAAATCAGCAATACGCACGCAAGTTTGGAATCCTTTTACAATTTACAACACACTCACAGTTCTCCCAATGTTTAAAATGCGATTAAATTGAGAGACCCTGTATCATCTACATTTCAAGTGCAGGTCTCCAGCAGCTGCGTGTCGTCAAACTAGTTCATCCTGAAAATGACCTCCAGAAGCAGCTACTTCTAAACAAGCAAAAGGTTACAAATATTTTCACCTAGGTACCATTTAGTTCCACTTTGTTTTGCAAAAATTTTCAAGATTTCCCGTCACATCGAATCTTTGGACGCATGCATGAAGCATTAAATATAAATAAAAAATAAAACTAATTACACAGTTTAGACGAAATTCACGAGACGAATCTTTTAAGCCTAATTAGACTATGATTGGACACTAATTGCCAAATAACAACGAAAGTGCTACGGTACCATTTCGCCAAAAAATTTGCAAGCTAAACAAGCCCCTACCCTGGCTAAAGAAACACGAATTGCCTATACAGTTCAGTCACAGCAGTAACTACACTTCCCTGGGATCTGAAATATTATGGAGTAATGAACAAATCAGATGCAGTGTCTTTGCTTTTAAAAAAACAGATGCAGTGTCCAATCTAGTTTATGCAAGCCTCCACTCTTCACTGCCAATCTAATAAACTCCTAACAAGTTTTCCACACAGCTTCATTTGGTCCAACTCATCATCTCACTAGAAGCAAGACGATATGACTAGCCCTAACCAACGGAACGCGACCACGCAAAAAGAAAAAGTAGAACACAGGGAGATCAATCCAAGGTACCTGGTGGCCGATCCCCTGATGGACGGCGGTGCGGCAGATGTTGCCGGCCTTCTTGCTAGGGCAGACGGCATCCACGGACACCCCATACGCTTGCAGCGCTTGGAACGGGACCATGACCTAACCCAGCATCAATTCAAGAACCGATTTTGTTTCAGGATACACCAATCCAGGGTTGATTTTCGATCCAAACACAAGTAATTCAGCAGGAGGCAAAGCGAAAAAGATGGGAAGAAAGAAAAGAGACCTCGTAGTCCTCCATGTAGTCGCCGCAGAGCATGAGCACCTTCTTCGCCGCCATCCCTAATCCCCCCTCGCACGCTCGCGACCGCGCACACGAGACGCTTCGGCTTGTTTCGTCGAGCTCGGAGTCTAGGAGCCTCTCCTTCGTCTCTACTGCCTCTAGTCTTTGGGAGTGCTAGTAGTAGTGTTTTATATATGCCACTGGAGAGTCATCCGGAGAACTCCTGGCTCTCATTTGTCTTCTACGCCTTTTTTTTTTTTTTTTTTTTTGCTAACTTTATTTTTCTGAGAATAATTTCATAGGTATCTGAATGATGATTTTATAGCAAAAGTGTTCAATGCAACAGTTTCACTTATCAGCGATCAAGATTGTAATTTTGTTCACGCGATGCAGTCAGAGTATTAGGCTCTCTTTGAAATGTAGGAAAATTATCTAAAATTACAATGTCACATTTTCTCTATAAAACTAAACTGATTCTTATAAAATTCATATACGGTTCTCGGAAAAACGGCTGATGCTGATGATGCTGATGCTGATTTGTTGTGAGAGAAAAATATTGTTATTTTGCTGAAACGGTACGGTTGATGAGTTCAAGCGAATAGAACCCTCGTGAAAATCCAGCGTCCCAAAAAAAACTCTCACCGATCGACTTTACACTTTCTAGGGTTTTTTTATTTATACCATTATAATTTTTAAACTTTGAAGAAATATCATTATTATTTACCTATTTTAAAACATATCATTATAATTTTTATTTTTCACAAGCATGCTACAGAATACGTATGGAGACGACTTGAACGAGAAGCAGGTGTATACAAATAAGTATACTTCATTGCAGCCCCTCCCATCACTTACGCGCAGGCCTCACTTGTCACCTTCTCCTTCTCCTTCTTCTCCTCTCCTCATTTTTCATTGCTGAGCCACATCCACCGCCTGCAGCCGAGGATGAACTGACGGTGAAAACTGACTAACCGAGGATAGCACGAATGAAATATTATGTACAGTACTTACTGTTTGATTACAGGCATAGAAGTATGTTCACTTGCTTCAATACGATTATGATTATAAGCTAGAATAGTATTTTTCTCTCACCCCAAACCAATCAGCAATAAATAATCTATAATCGTTTACGACGAAACGTAACAGGCTGTATAGCGAGCAGCAGCACGTGGCCGAGCAGCATGCCCGCTGGGAATCACGAGCTCGCCATCGACGGGGCCAAGGGTAGCAGCAGCAGCACGCCGGAGCAGCAGCAGCTCGCCATTGACGGGGCCACGAGCTCCACGCCGGATGGGAGCTCCGCGCGCCGCCCGGGCCGCGAGGTCCCGCCCGGGTCGCGAGCTCCGTGCCAGCCGCATGCCCGCGAGCTCCGCGCGCCGGCCGCACACCACCATGTGATTCCGAGAACTACGTGCTCCCGTGCGTAGCGAGGCGAACCTTTTGCACCTACAGGATCCCAAAGTGGTGCTAGCCCCTATCCATTGTGTATTTCTTTTTTCAGAAACAGAAACAGAATTTCATTTAAGTTCAACTGTACTGTACCTCACAAGTGCACGGGAATGGGAGGCATATATCTATTATAAAAAAACTCATCATACACACACAGGCAACTGCTAACAGCAAAAGATCCAGATCTTGTGGCACTTCGGAAGTTGGGAGCTCAGATGCCGATGCTAAAGGAACCTTGCGCATTGGCATCTCTTCAGCTCTTGTTGCATTCAACTGTGTCCAACTCCAGCACATAATTTCATTTTCAAGAAGTAACATAAACACTTCTCACTGCATTTTTGCTGTTAAAACTTGTGTTTACTTGCCTGAAAGAAGCAAACTATCATGATTCATGACTCTGCAGCGATTGAAACCAACAAGAGAACCACCATGGTATCTCAAAGCATAATGCCAAAATATATACATATAGAACTCATGCATAAATGCATCATACAGCGATTGTAAGCAAAATGCCCCTTTGGGGGGTCGATTATATTTCATTCCGGCACAAATTGATCAAGGAATATCCTGCTGTTAGTAAGGAAACTAATACAATACAAAGTCTGAGGATAGGTCAGATATGCTGAACATCACAGCTGTTTACATGTAAACCTCAAATTGATTATGAACGCTACCTCGCTTCTTATCTGACCTATAATTATCAGTAATCAGCCTCACAAAATAATAGGCTTTGGCACTATCAAAATAAAAGGAAACACAAAGCGCCAGATGGAGTCACCCAAGAGATGCACTAAGCAAAGCAGGCATTTCAGCTTTGCCTCAAGCAACAGAACCGATGACAAAACCTAGAGCTCTTTGCCTCAAGCAACAGAACCAATGACAAATTCTAGAGCTCTTTGCTTCAAGCAACAGAAGCAATGACACCATAGCGCTCAAGAGATTACAACCCCTACTTTCCGAGCGAAGTCATCATCATCATCAAAATCTTCGTCGTCTTGGTATGCATTTTCATCTTCAGATCTGTAGTCATGACCTTCAATTGTCTCGTAGTCGTCAGACTCACCCTCTCTCTGGTCATAGTTGTCCGCCTCTTGATTTCCTTCTGCATCCACTTCAGCAGCATACTCAACCTCAAACTTATCACCATGAGATGAAGACTGCCTGTGTGCATCCACAGGGATATGATCTTCCTCTTTATACTCTTCGTCACCTGAACCACTCTTGCAATCTGCAGAGCTGGTAATGTTGTCACAGCCTTTCTTCTCAGTTTCAACCAGAGAACCTGTCTGCATGACTGCAACCTCAGCAGATTTCTCATAGTTGGAAGATGAGTTATTGCCCTGTGCTGCCTCTCTTTTTCTCTGTAAGATGACACTGAGGGGTTTGGGACCCTCAAAATCAAGAGATGCTTCGGACTCCACAATTCCATTTGCCTTCCTTGGCTCTCCCAAGTTCCTGCGAGCAGCAAAATGAGCTGAATCCACTGCATCTCTTCTAGCAGAGAGGCCATCTGCATGCCTGACAGTAGAGACAATCTCACTTGACCTCCGGTGGCTCCTTTCTTGACTCTGTCCAGCCTCCCGATGCCTACCACTATGAAAATCCATACGCCTAACTGGAGAAAATCTTTCCCGGAGTCTCCTCCTGTCTCGTTCATCCTCGAAGCGAATATCAACTCTATCAGGTGATCTTCGAGGAAGCTTTATTCTAGCCTGCAGACGGGAACTCAGAGTGCTTCCTCGTGGGCCCTGATAGCGATCTCTATGTGTGTGGTGACCACCATGTGGCCTTTCTCTGTAGCGTTCATCCCTCCAGTGCTGGTCCCCATTAGCCCGTTCTGGGCTAATGGCTGTCGAAGGCCCATTTATTCTTCTCCTGCGGAGCTGATGACGTAGATCTGATCCATCTATGTCGTTGCGATCAAGCTCTCTGTGGAGAAACCTTCTATCTGGATGGTAAGGTTTGTCTAAGCTCCTCTCAGACGAGGATCTACGACGTTTCCTCTCATAGCCATCATACTGTCCAATCCGTCCGTTCTCACCCATTCCATTGTTGAACTGCTCACTTTCATGATGAGCCCGAATATCAAAATCAGCTGGAGCATATTCATAATCTTCTACCGGGTACATATCCCTTCCAAAATCTTCCTCGTCATGTAAATAAGCAGCACCATCTCCATCATTGTCTACAAGAACATCAAAACCAGGAGAAGACTCTCCCAAAAAATCATCAGCCTCCCTGCTATTCTGTGGCAGGTCATCAGTAGGAGGCATTTCAAAATTTTGGTTCCAGTCTTGGACAGGATCACCCTCCACAGGAACCTGGTTCTGATAGTGCATAGGATGATCCTCAGTTGTGAAACTTTTCTTTGCTGCAAATGTATTACTGGGTGCCAGCTCTGAGTTGGGCCCAGACTTCACTGCATTGGAAGCTACATCAGCGGGAATTGCACCCGCACCACTCTTGGAAACATGAGCCGTAGTCCTATTATCAGTTATTCGAACCTCCTGCGTTGAATTATTTGGAGCTGCAGCATCTTCATTCTTTTGAGACTGGGACAGTTCCAAAGGGAAGGAAGAAACCTTCGCCACCTGCTCTGCAGGATTATTACCAGCTGTTTGTGGTCCATGATAAAAAAGGCATCTATCACCCTTCAAGCAGTTCCCTTTCTGGAAGTAATAGCATGGGACCATCTGCTTGCCCGGGTTATAGGCACCATAGTGCGCAGAAACTGGAGGTAGTCCGGAAGTTGGGGCACCAAATTGACCATCAATTGGCTGGAGAAGGAAAAGGAAGAAAAAAACAAAGTTTAGAAAATAATGTAAACAGATAAAATGGGCAAGTAGTTATAAATCTGATAGTAGATATTGAGGAAATGGAAATAGACATACCAGATGGCGGAATGCACACTTAGGATTCAAACAACTGCCATTCAACCAGTACCAACAGTCTCTAGGGTTCATCCGGGCACCCTCGCTGTGACGAAAATCGCATTCATTACCCTAATGGAAGGTATAGAGAGAAATATTAGTTTAAGATTTGATTGGAAGGTCATAAGAAACAATAGCAGGTAAACATGCATGATAATTTGAAATTCAACAGTCGGATAGTATTACAAAAGGACTAACATTAGTTGGGAAGGTCAAGTAGTGCCTAGGAAAGATGCCTTTCGATATTTAGGATCAATGCTACAGAGAGACGCGGATATTGATGAAGATGTTAGCCATAGAATCAAAGCAGGGTGGATGAAGTGGCGGCAAGCATCTAGTGTCCTATGTGACAAAAGGGTACCACAGAAGCTAAAAGACAAGTTTTATAGGACGGCGATTAGACCTGCTATGTTGTATGGTGCAGAATGTTGGCCCATGTTCAACAGATAAGTGTCGCGGAAATGCGTATGTTGCGTTGGATTTGCGGTCATACAAGAAAGGATCGAGTTCGGAACGATGATATAAAGGACAGATTTGGGGTAGCACCAATTGAAGAAAAGCTTGTCCAACACCGGTTGAGATGGTTTGGACATGTCCAACGGAGATCTCCAGAGGCACCGGTGCGTAGTGGAATCCTAAGCCAAGATAGTAACGTGAAGAGAGGCAGAGGAAGACCGAAGTTGACTTGGGTAGAGGCAATAAAAGGAGACTTGAAAGGATGGAATGTACCCAAAGACTTAGCCTTAGATAGGAGTGCTTGGAAGACAGCTATTCACGTGCCTGAACCTTGATTGCTTCTGCTGGGTTTCAACTCTAGCCTACCCCAACTTGTTTGAGACTTAAAGGCTTTGTTGTTGTTGTTGTTGTTGTTGTTGTTGAATCAAGCGAAGCCATGAATGAATATAATGTGACACGTTGAATGGGCTAACAATATGTGAACCAATACACACAAGAAGCAGAGGACAGCCAGGCATGAAAGTCTACTGACACATATCAGGCGTTTGCATTGATATGGAGCAAATGTCTATTTGCCTTTTTCACATATACAGAGCACTGATAGTGTATACAATAAGTTGTTAGATTGATATTGTATTGCACAACATGTTTTGTCAGATTATGATAGCGAAACTGTTCCATAATAAAATCACCAGCATGTACCAATCCAGAAAGCCCAGTGAGATTCTAGGCACCAGAAAATTTTCTCTCGAGGCCTTCTCCAACATCTAAAAGATTGTATCACTAAATCCAAGGGTGATGTAGTGCCAGTAAGCCTACCCGATGCCCAGATGACACAACTTTACAGAACACATTAGCCTGGCTCTAGGTAGCATCACAGACATGGAAAATGCACATGCTTGGAACCAGGGGTTATCAATTTATCAAATTCCCGAACGCTGCTCAAATCGTGATTCCAAATATCGCCCCTAAACAGCACATGCGTCCAAAACCAGAACAGAATTTGATGTTTTTTTCACCGCGAAATTCACAGGTACCTAGCAAAGAAACCCTACCGAGACCCTATTCCCAAACCAAACCGGCCGCCTCGAAGGGAGGAAAATCACACGCCTCAATCGCCTAAAGCAGCACCCAGAAGGCCGGAACCCTAAGAAACTCGCGCGGCGTACCTTCTTGCAGGTGAGCGGCGAGGCGAGGAAGTAGACGCAGTCGGTGCTGCGCCGAAGCGCCTCCTCCTCCGGCGTCAGCGGCTTCGCGGCGGCGGCGGCCGCCGCCCCCGCGGCGCCGTCCACCTCCATGGCCCCCGTTCCGAAGGTGGCGGTGGGCCGCGGGATCCTCGTCCCCTGCCCCAGCCCGCGCGCCGATCGCAGCTGGCGGAGATAGGGCTCCTGGCGGTGGCGGCGGCAGCGGCGGCGAGCGGGGGTTAGATCTACGGCCGCCTCCGCTCCGCGGGAGGAGGCTAGGCTAGGGTTGGCGAAGGCGACGGGAGGGAGGAGATGGGCTCGTCTCGTGTGGACTGGATTGGATTGGAGCCGCCTCTGCGACCTCTAACTGCGGGTATATGACGGGCAGGGGACAGACAGGCAACGAACCAAACCAACGGGCTCCCTCTCTCTGGCCGCTAGACCGCTAGAGAGGCGGCAGGCAGGTAGACACCGCCGCAGCGTTGCGTTGCGTGTGTGCACGCCTGCCCCGATTCGGTTCGCGGCTCTTTCCTTTGGTCTTTCCTTTCCGGCAAGTTTCCGCATTGACCTTCTACTCTCAGGCTCGGATCGTAGATTTTTTTTTCTGGTTATTAATGTATTGTACACGGAAACTCTATTACGCGACCCGTCGTGACTTGACGCTATGGCGCAACTCCCTAGCGTCCGCGGGGGACGGTGGTCGGTGGCGGGGGCGAGGAGGAGCAAGAACGGCGGTGGGGTCGAGGTCAAGGACGAGGAGGAGGGCGGGCTCAACGGCGAAGGAGGAGGCGTGCGGGGAGGGAAAAAGGGGACGGGAGAGGAGGAAGAAGGGGTGTTAGCGGCCTCCAATTGTTTATGTAAAATTAAACTTATTCCTATAAATTTTTTATGCGAGTCATGATATTTCTGCATTTCAAACGGGCCAGTAGAAAAGAGTAGGAAAAAACTACCGTGACTGCTTACCTAGATATCAGGATATGGTTGCATTTTTCTTCCCAACCAAAGAACCAAAAGGTGGACCAGAGATCGAATTGCTCTCGCAACCATGGTCATTTATTTGTAAATATATGTATATGATAGCAATAATTGTTTTTATGAGTTGTATCAAAAAATATATACCATATTTATTTGTGTACTTTCTATAGTACTATCAATGGTAGAAGAATATCTAGGACCATTAGGGTGACCGCCCTAGGCGTTGGCCCATATATTCTATATTGTAGCACGCCGTATTAAGGAGGTCCAATCCATCCCGCAAATCAAATATATGGAGTGTTCCTAAGCGTTAGGCTAGATTAGCTTCACTATTGTGAAAATCTTGTAATGTATCGTAGATTTTTTTCTTGTAAAATTTATCATATTTACAGCAACACTTTCCAATCCTAATTGTTGAATGCCAGGTAAAGATTTTAGGTCCGCCAGAGCATTCCATGAGCTAATGACAGGAAGCCGTGCCCAAAGATTACCATAGTGTTTCAAATGGAAGAAGTCAACTTTTAGCCATCCAACTATTGGTTAAATTTGTTTTTGATTATGTAGATCTAAAGCCAAAAATATTTGACTAATGAACTATCAATACTAGAGAAATTCGGCCATCTAGCTGTTTTCAAGATGGTTTTGCATTTATTGAAAAGAATAAAAACGATTTGTTTTCTAAAAATTCATAACATTCATTTTAAATCAAAGAAATATGATTCTAGAACCATTTTTGCTAAAATATATAGTGTGTCTTTTGGTGTTAGATTTGGAGTTATTTCAATCTTATTTCCAGATGTTCCTAGTGTTTTATTACCTGGGGGCGTTCACGTCATTTAGTTAAATCATCATTTGTGCAAAACTAAACTTAGAGATCGGTATGTGGTGGAGCATGGCATATACGTGGTTGGTTTCATATTTATCTTTATTTACTCATCGTCTACTATAGACCTATTGATAATATCAGGTAAAATATTAATTTAAAAAAGGTGATTTAAGTAAGTAACTAGCATGACTATACAAGCAACAAAATACTAGTAGGAACAAGAACAAACAAAACAATAACTCTAAATAGTACCAACAAATATATTGTAAAAGGGCGTACCCAGTACAGAGAGCTCCCGCTACGTGCGGGGTCTGGGAAAGGGTGTTAGTGGCGAGCCTTAACCTCGCCTGTGCAATGCGAGGAGACCGCGACTCGAACCCGGGACCTTCCGGTCACATGCGGTAAGACTCTATCGTTTGCACCAGGCCCGCCCTTCACCAACAAATATATTGTGTTTTTAGAAAAGTTTGTACTAGTTTCATACTTTTCAGATTTAAAATAAATTAGTTTTGATTTTTAAGAAAATAAATTGGTTTTTGTTATTTTTAGACAATACAAAACAAACTTTAACACCAAGTAGATCACCAAATTTGCGCGATATTGATAACTCAGTGGACACAAAATTTAGATTTAGAGTTGCATGGCCAAAAATAGACTTCTCTCGTTTTTGAAACCATCCACAGCCCACAGGAAGTGCACATGGTACATTACGGATTATGAAGTGCTTGCACTTGTCCATTGTGTAGTTTCCTTGTGTTCGTTGTCCGTGCAATGAAATAGGATGAATCTACACATACAAGAACCAATGGATTGTTTTCTCACCTCTTCACCTTTTAGCTCTATGCTGATTGCATTTTGTGGAATCGCTCTAATGACTAGAATGAAGAAAAAATATGACTCTTTAAAGCTTGTCTTATGGGGCACATAATACAACACAAACTTTGTTCAACTTTAGTCTAAGCCACTCCCATTGGACTGTCGTCCTGTTCGTTTTGGCTTGTTTTGACTTGTTTTTAGCCAACGAACAGTATTTTTCTCTTACATCAAATCAGACATCAGTACTTTCAGCCATGGCTTATAAACTAAACACGACCCAGCGAACAGGCTGACATGTATGTGTAGAGAGATTGAGAGAACAGTGCTTGAGTTTACCGCTACACTTCAGTCCAGTCTGGCAAACAGGGGTCCAGCCCATCTAGAGAGAAGAGTGGAGCACTCAGTCTATCAAAGTTCCCAAAAAAGAAAAAAAGAGTGGAGCACTCGGTCCATATTTAACGAACTCGACCTCTAACGGATCCATAGATTTCCTAGAGCTGGATATCAGGATATGTGTAGCTCCAAGAAATCCTTGATGTGAAATCCTGGATGTGAAGCTAGAGGCACGACGTGACTATTTACATTAATCATTTTTACCATTTTATTTACATTGTTCAGATCAAATATAAAAATTTAGACCACTTTAATTTAGACGAGAAACTGCAAACCAAACCTAGATACTGGAAAATAGGTTTTCCACTTTTTACTGTTCTCTTGTGAGTGCACAGATGATTCGGCTGTTACATCCTCCTGCATGGTAAATCTTGTGAGTGCACACAATTGAAGCCATTTCAAGTGATGCCTATATTGGAATGGCAAATAGTATTTGAGCAGCCAATGCCAATAATGAACCAAGTGTTTGAAAGAGGAGCTGCAGGTAATGCATAGATCCACATAAATAAAATTCAAACATCAACAAATGCCAGTTGCACATCTGTGGATGATTCACGTTACAAAATTCAATGAACTTCAAAGGCAAAATTAGTTTACAAGAATCACATTATTACAGCCCTTGTTTGTAATTCCTAATGCTCATTGGTTTCTTCAGGTGCAGCTCTGTGTCATAAAGGTAAAGCATATCCTATATCACCAAATACAAGAGCAAGTCAGGCCATGGATACAAGATGTAATACCATATGCTGCCATTATTTCAAATCGAGTAATTTTGCACGCCTAAAGAAAAACTGAAGTGTTTTTATTATAAGTACAAGTTTTTTTCTTTGGCATGGATCATGATCAAACTGAAGATAAGAGCCAAACAAGTTACAAGGAACAATTTTGCATGCTCCATTCTAAAGACATGAGCAAACACATAGAGCAACAACCAAAGTAGTACATGTTACAAATATCTGCCAAAAAATATGACTTTGTTTTAACTCAGTGTGCTCGCTTCTCTTCTGCTCAGCTCCTAGCCATGATCAGATGCGCTTGTTTAAACCTATAACAACCACAGTTAAAATATAGAAACCCCATCTTTTTCAATGAAAAAGAACAAAACTTTTTTTCTTCATTAGCTTGATCTAATCAACAAGCATGAAGGATCTCATATTCCTAAGACTTGCTAGCTGGAACTGATAGGTTCAGTAATTCATGGTTAAGAATGCCAAATTCATTCCTAAGGTACAAAACAGAGAAATGCATTGAAAAGGTGAACAACAATAGGACTTCAGGCATCAAAGACAAACAAAAACTCTTCTATTATGTATGGGACAATGTTTTAACCAGGCATCACTTTTCCTCAGAGTTTAGAGAACCACAATCTTATAGTCGACATGTAAATTGCAAGTCTATATAGCTAAAACCAGATCTTCTTCATAATTTACGAATAAAGAGGGCCAATAATGGAACCAGTGGATCAATCAACATGATTGCAATGACTAGTCCTAAAGAGACTGTATTCTTTCTATTTACAACTAGGATGCTGTCGTTGCACCATGCACCCGGCAAATCCAACCAAACTTTCCACAAAAAACCATACAAAACATAATTTATAGTAACAAGTTATACTGGCATCAAGCTACTGTAAAGTAAAACAATACAATGCCTGCAACTAGTTTTGATATGAAGTGCTAGCATTTTAAGTTCTTCTCACTAGTGTAACTGTGAAAGGCATGTTGAATAAATTCATTATTCATCACTGCATACAAAAAGATCCCTGTTGATCATTTTTGTTACATTGCAAAAAAACAAAAGATTCTACAAAATCTAAACTACTATAGAAGTTCACAAGTTTCCAAATTGACATGCGCCATTTCGCACTGAGAGCCAATAAGTCAAAAATGAACACACAATCCTAAAGCGGTAGCTCCCATGAACTTGACCTAAAAGACAATAAATTGGTTGGTGATAACTCCGATACTGGACCAGCTAAAACAGCTTCTTTCACAACCATACACATCCACAGTATCCAGAGCTCGAAAATTGGTCAATAATTTTAAACCAAAAGGGCTCCCTAAGATCATGACAGTTAGAAAAAAGAAACTAATAGCTTACTGCTAGTACAGTGGACAATTGGACATAGATGTAAAACTAGATCTGTAGAAAAACAATCGAGCACAATTGATTAAAAGGTTAAACGGAGTTTCATCAGGACAGCACGCTATCCATTCATATATTAATCAGTCATGAGCTTGGGGATTGACCTCATGGGTGCAAAGCACAGCTGGAAGACACTAAGATGCACGAGTTACTAAACTAGCCAGTTCAGTCACCTGACTCCTGTATCTTGGTTTATATGGTGCGTAAGTAGAACAAACCAACTACCTGATGAGTACTGTGTAATGAGTTCATGAATTGCTTGGTCCAGTGAGAAATTGATTCAAGAAATGGTGATGTGGCCATGTTGGCAAAACATTATACTTAAATTAGCGATCTGACGGGGCTTAGGACTTTTTTCCCGTTCAATCTTATCCGAAACCCGAAAACCTCAAACTGCACAATCACAAGAAAATGTTGCAGAGCATGCAGCACCCAACAATAGATCCAAATATTTGGCAGCATGCCATTATCCCAACAAATGGTAACAGCCCAGAACAAAGAGTTACCTTGCGAGAGCGAGCTCCAGCAGGTGGAGTCGACGGCGATGCAGGACCTAAGCCGCGCGGCCGCCACCGCGCTGTGCAGCGGCATTAGCGTTTCGAGCCCCGCCGACGCCGTGGCCGCCGACCTGCACGGAAACCAAACGGCCGATATGAGCGCGCGCGCCGAATCCCATCAGGACCAATCGCCAGGGAGTCGGTTGGCTACCTGCGGAGGATCCGGGCGGACCGTGCAGCGGAAGGCGAGGCAAGGGAAGGCAGTGGCGCTCCGAGGACGCGGCCGGTAAGGGGTGCGGAGCGGACCGCCGACCTCACGGCGACGGCGGCGGCGGCGGCTGTGCGGGATAAAGATGCCATTTCCTCTTCCCCTGCCTTCTCGCGTCGGTGTCGAAGCAAAACCTCGTGGGGGTTCGAGAGGCTAAACCCTAGACGCTGCTTAGTTTGGGCCGACCGGCGTTCATCAGGACGACTTGGTATGGGCCGGAGGAGGGAGAAAATTGGGTGGCCCATGGATATGGATGGATTCGCGACTGAAAACACGTTTATGCATCTATTAAGTTTTGGAAATTTTCTAGATTTTTATAGATACTTTTCCTATTTTTCTGGAGCTAAATCTATTTCTTCGAAGCATCTATATATATTTTCATGAGATATAAATATTTTATTTATAGAATTTTTAAAAGCGTGGAGACATTTTATGTGGTTTAAAAACCTTTACCAAGTTCTTAATAAACTTTTTCAACTAGAAAAGGACAAAATCACCTTCAAAACCTATCCAAACCATTTCAAAATATCTGATTTTAGGAGTTCGAGAAGAAAAATCATACTACAAACCATAGTTTGCTGTAAATGCTGTTGGTGCGCTAACGGAACGGGCCGAGCTCGGCGGCAGGCCGCGCGCCCAGATACAGTGCAGGCGCTGGAGAAGACACGTCCGTACTCGCAGCATGAGATGGGCCAAAAGGAGCAAGGCGCCATTTACCATGCCGGTACGGCCCACAGAGCAAACAAGCAGAACCTGCTGTGTCGCTCTGCACCCAAAAAAAAAAGAAAAAGAAAGAAAGGAGGTAAAAACTCAGTCTCGGCCTAATAATCCCAGTCTTGTTTAGTTCTCGGTTAGGAATTAGTATTCGGCATCGTAGCATTTTTGTTTGTATTTGACAATTATTGTTCAATCATAGTCTAACTAGGCTCAAAAGATTCGTCTCGTAATTTACAATCAAACTATATAATTAGTTATTTTTTTTATCTACATTTAATACTCCAGGTAGGTGTCCGAAAATTTGATGTGATGAAGAGAGTGAAAAAACTTGAAATCTAAACAAGGCCCCAACCACAAGCGATGTGAAGTGAAGGTCTTGTTTCCCGTGCATGCGGTGACCTATATACGTACACATCTGATGACAGTGCAGCAACCTACTGCACTCTCGTTTCGTTTTCTCTCAGTTTCAGGAGTAGAACTCTGTTGTTGCATTTGCATGCTCTGGTAGTGGTACTAGGAGTACAATACAAATTCGCCGCACGTAGCTTCCTCTATTTATGCTGACCGCTGAGCATCTTTCCTACAAGCTCTCTAATAGGCAAGTATGTAACACCGTTCGAGCAGGTCTAAACTAACAACGAAACCGGAGACTAATAACCTTCGCCCTCTTGTATCCAAACCCATGCTTTCATGCATGCTCTGACGAATGATCAGCACGAATACAGAGACGGCCTTTACTCCCGATGAGAAACCCCCTCTAGTCCCCGTTCCCCATCCGGGAGCAAGCATCCGAGTCAGGAACCGGGACTAAAGGTCCTCTCAACTTTAAAAAAAAATAATGCCTCACACCGCTGCATCCCGTGAGATTCGAACCCAAGACCTCATGTATTGCCTCGCGCGTAGCTTACCACCCCACCTACACAACACATCTAACGATGGATGGGATGCTTCCCTTTTGAACTAACCCATCGGGGGACCTTTAGTCCCGGTTGGTTGGAGGACTTTTAGTCCCGGTTGGTGGCTCCAACAGGGAGTAAAGGTCCACCTTTAGTCTCGGTTGGTGTCTCTAACCGGGACTAAAGGTCCCCTGCCACTGTGCCGAGCGCAGTAGCCGTTGGGCAGAGACCTTTAGTCCCGGTTGGAGACACCAACCGGGACTAAAGGTCTCTCTAGTCCCGGGCGTAAAAAATGTCGGGACTAGAGCCCATTTTGGCTTTGGATGAAAGGTCTGTTCTCTACTAGTGCAGATTATTGGCCCTGTTCGGCTTGCTGAAACCTGGCTGAAACTGGTTGAAAAATATTGTTCTGACTGAATTGTTGTGAGAGAAAAATACTGTCTCAGCTGAATAACAAGCTAAATAGTGTCATTTTTAAGGTAAGTCGAAGGGGCATTATAGATCTCGATCCGGTACGGTGCACCCTGTTGGCAAGACACGCCCATCTCCTGTTCCAGTAACAGCTGCCAAATAGTACCAGTACGGAGGACTCCCCAGCTCTTTTCGCCGTCTCATCTACCCCCTGCCACCCCGGCCAGTCGTATTGAGCTTGGGCATACTCACTCACTCTTTTTCCAAAATACATGCGTACACCATCACCAAAATCACACGACATGGTATGGTAAAAGAAAATCCTGAAAGAATAGTTACCACGAGGCACTGGATGGTGGGCCCACCGGTGTCTCTCTATTCCTTTTTTTTTCACCGTCACATCTTCATCTCGGGCCTTGGGAATTTTTCCATCCCTGGTCCAAAGACAGAAGGCAGGGAGAGGGACACACACTGCAGAGGCGGTGGGGGCAGCAGTACTTGGCGAGTGGGGGCAGCGCGTTGTCATCTCATATCAGCTCAGCTCATCACCTCACACTCGATCATTCACGCATCTCCCCCTCCGCCTCCGGCCCGGCCCTCTCTGTTCCAGCCACCATTATTGACTTTGCTTGCGAGGCCCAAAAGACATCGCGCGCCCGCCACACCCACACCACTGGCACTCGTGGAGCCGCAGCCTCCGACCCCACCCACTGCCACTACGCGCACGAGCAGCGCAATTGCAAGCTCCTGCTTGCTGCTGCCTGCCTGCCTGCGCAGCCAATCACTTGCATTCAAACCCTTCGCACATTCACACACTCAATACTCACACTGCGAGGTTTAAGGTCTTTTTTTTATAGTATGTGGTAAAGGTTCAAGACTTGCTTGGCTAGACACATTTGTTTGCAATGGGAAGGGCTTTTTCTTTACGACTAGGAAAAGTCTCATCTGATAATGAAACATGAAATACACATCAAGAAACCCGAAATCTGGTAGCCACAAAAGAAATCATTCTAGAGATAAATCCTTCATAGCGACCGTCGGTCCTACTCGCTATTAATGGGTCACTGGAAAGTTTGGTACTCGGAGCAATTCTGATGGTGGCACCAAACCTACATGCTTTGGGGAATCCAAAGCCACGTCTCCTATCCCGACACCACAATTTTTTTCCACTTACTCTAATAATCTAATACTCATTTCAAAAGTAATATAGTCTAGTACACCTTGTTTCTCTTTTTCTCTCCCTCATTCGCTTTGGGCATGTGTTTACCCTTGCTACATCCTAGTGTGGTTACATTACCAAACGATGCTTCTGTAACCTTGCTTGCTACTCCCTCCGATCCGTCCTTGAATAAATCAACTTCAAGAGCTTTTCTAAGTCAAACTTTCTTAAGTTTGACTAGTTTTATTCAAAATATTGCTAACATCTATGACACTAAAAGCATATAATGTGATAATATATTTTATGCAATATATAGCTATACTAATTTTGTGTCGTAAATATTATTCTTGTTTATATACAATTCGGTCAAACTTTAAAAAGTTTGATTAGGCACCTCCAGAAGCTGATTTATTCACGAACGGAGGGAGTTTTTGGTTGGACTCAAAACTAACATGGTAGCTTTCTTATCTATTAGTACTATATTTAATTTATTGATATTAGTAAAAGTTGAATAAAATCAAGCAATTTTAATTCTAGCTTATTAAATTTTTAGCTCCAGCCAGATATAAGTTTAACAACTCCAAAACGCATTTCACCCATGTACTTTTCTCAACACCCCACTCCCTCCCCTCTAAATAGATATATGCAATTAATCAACGGTGTAAAGTGACGATACCCTTACAATGCCGATGATTGAAACGGCAACATGATCTTTGCACCGTCTACCTTAATGTATGTCCACGTGTGTAAGTTGATTCATGTTTTCGGATTGGATGGAGTACTAATGCGCAGTTCGTAGCCAAATCATGTGGTAACCAGGCCAGGCAATAATGCGTCATACGATGAAAAGGCATGGCTTAGAAAACAACACTATAAGAGTAGCAACATTTTTTTATGAGATATTATTGCATTTATGATGTTTGATCTATTTGTCAGGCTTTTGCCACGCCATCCTATTCTAAAAACTTAATGGAAAATCTAACACTAGGTCAAGTAAAAACATGTACCCCTAATTAATCTAAGATATGGTGTGGCAAAAGCCCAACAATAGATCGAACATCAATATATGCCATAAATCTAGGGTGTTCATCAAAGCACCTAGAGTCAAGTCTATTTCAATCTTTAAACTTTGTCATAAAACAGTCATAGACTACTCAAGTTTATCGGCGATTGTTCAGATGAGACTAAAACTAATACCACTACTAAGGGCCTATTTAGATCTTCTGGAAATAATAAGAATGAGACAGAAGAATGAGAACGAGATCTAAATATGTAGATTCTACTAGCAGATTTTTATAATGCAACCACCAGATCCTTATAATCTAGCATCTAGTGCAACGCATGCTATTTAAGGATAAGATAACACATCAAACAAACTAGGACCTCTAGTAAATGATTCAAGATCCAAACAAAACCTTTTGTAAAATCTAGGCTAGAATCCATATTCCACAATCATTATCAAGAATTCAGATTCTCATATATAATCTTTATTAGGAGATTCAAATAAACACTAACTTAGGGCCATGTTTGGATGCGCATAACTAGTTATTAGTAGGGGCTAAAAATTGATCCAAATCAGCTATGGTTGGCTAACAATTACTAGTTGAAGACTTGACTAATAAATTAGCCCTCCTATTTAGATGCACTAAAGCTAATTTTTAACTAATTTTAACTGGAGTAGTTACCAATTAACCCTTGTATCAAACAGGCCCTTAGATCACGCAGGGATGGGACGTACAGCCGTCGCTCCAAAAGAAAAGGTGAAGAAAGAGAAGCCGACTGGGAGGCTTGGTACGCAGTAGATCTTGCGGCAGGGGAGGGGACGACAATGGTGGTGGTAGGGGTGAGCGGTGGCTTTTGCTTTTATATCCTGATACTAATCCCGAGTCCCAGCGGTCGACTCACTGCACTGGCACGGGGACGTGGGGGGTGGGCCGTGCATGCTGGCTCAGCAGGGCCTCAGGCAGGCAAGGCTCACAGTCGCCGGCCGGCCCGGCAGTGCCAGGCGGGGCGAACAAAGGCTGCGCCGCCGCTGTGCACGTCCCACTGCCGCGCGCACCTG